GTATAAAATCATATGGAATCTTGTAACCTAACAGATAAACTTATGTGGTACAAAAGTATGTTTTATATTTTGTATAAATGACAAGGTTTACTGTCATTTTATTGTACTTTTCATTTTTTTAATCATAAAGTGAACGGCTGGAATATAGTAAAAATTTCATGGTGCATAACTGCGTGAGTTCTTAAAAAAAAAAGAAAAAAGAAAAGAAAAGAAAATGTTATTAATGAAGAAAATTTTTGTGTAAACTTAAGCCATTGTGTAGTCGCTTTCAATTTGTGAAGTAAAGCTCTTGCATAGCAATGAGAATTTTAGCTAAGAGATTATTACTTTAGATATTTAGATATAGATTATTACTTTTGGTGTGCATATTATTTAATTTTAGCTAAGAAAAGTATAGATTATTACTTTTGGTGTGCATATTACTTTTGGTGTGCATATTTGGTAGTCGATTGAAGTAAGATAACTTAAATGAAAATACCTAGCACTAAGTTAACTAAAATAAAAAAAATAAAAAAAAAGCAGAAAAAACACTGGGTTAGAGCGCTTTGTTTCAAAAGCAAGAAAATCCAGGGTTAGAAGCGAGTTCTTGACATGTTTTGTACCATAAGGTAAGGAAGGAGGCATGGACTTGGGGGAGGTTAATTTCTGGAAGAACTGGGACTGTATTTCTGTCTATTTTTTTTTCAAACACAAAGTCATATCATTTTTTTGTTTGTTTGTTTTAAACATACTAAACCTGGGAAAATCCAACACAAAGTTATCGCCGCTTTTTAAAATTTTGTAATTAAAAATACTAGTTTAAGCATGTGCTATAGAATTATATACAAACTATTAAATATTAGTAATAACTTTTAGAGTATATCTTTTAAGGTAGAAAATTATACCCTTTAAGCTTAAAAGGTATAATTTTCTTATAATTTAAGCTTAAAGGGTATAATTTTTAAAATTAAATTAAGGTTAAAAATTAAATCAAAAATGATCATATGTGGTATAATTTGCTACCTTAAGGTTATAATGCTCTACCTTATAAGGTATAGCATTATAACCTTATGACATGTGATTTACCCTAAAGATGAAGATATAGTATAAATAAAATTTTTATTACTGAATGAAGTACAGTAATAAAGCAATTATTTACTGTATTGATTACAGCCAAAATATAATGATCCCCTTAAAAAGGTGCGTATTCCCAGCGTGTTCTGCTTGTAAGGTTAACTTTTTATAATCAATAACATCAAATTAACAAAGCTTTAACCTGCATTTCTTGAAACACCTTATATTTTGTTCTTAGTCATTAACATTAAATACACTTAGAGGAAAAAAAAATGAGCAGTCGTGGCGCAGTGGTTAGAGTTCTGGCTTAGAACCAAGAGGCCCAAGACTTGAGGTCAGTTCTAGCACAACAAGCGACTTTGGTAAGAAAGTAGGCTTCTAGTTAAATGCTCTCCCGCAGTGCTCTGTGATAAGACCGTTAGGACTTCAGGGAGCACCTAAACAACTTTAAAAAAAAAAAAATTGTATGATATCTGACCACACAATTAGAGGTTTGTACCGTACCGATTTATGGGAATACAGAACATTTTATCATTTTTCGTAACAAAACTACTGTATAATAAAAATAGTAGAATAAATAGAAAAACTCCTAGTTAAATACTTCTAGGTAGAAAAAGCTTATAACTTTTTCTTTAAGTTAAGCACGTATGTTGTATTTTATGATTTAATAAAGACATTCATTCAACATATATACATTCATTCAAATATATACTCTAAAGATTTTTATGAAAAAGACAAAAAAAAAAATGTAGTGTAGTAGAATAATTTATAAAAAAGTAAAATGTTAATTATCTATAGCAAGCGGGTGAAGATAAAAATTTAATTGCTTATTACGCAACTATTTTCAAATAAAACTGAACATTCGTGTTAGAGATAAAGACAATAAAAGCTAACTTTAAAAAAAGTATATTGGCGAATACAAGAACTAGGGCAATATTTCAGTATTCGCCATCACCAGCCCCCAAACATCCTTTTTATTTTCAACTATTGCTGTTACTAGGATACACAAAATGTTTGTGTATCTTAGTAACAGCATAAAATATATAAAAAGAGATTACAAAGAAAATGCTTTTTATGTGATTATCAAAAAGCTTTTACGAAATTTGCCATTAAGCATTAGGAGTTTTTTTAGAAAAATCTTTTCACAAAAAATCCTTTATTTTTAAAGTTACGATCGTCAAGCATTAGTTATGAAGCTGAGCATCAGTTATAAAGCTGACCTTATTTCAGACACAATTTTAGAAATTTCCAACAATTAGTTTTTGCTCTGCCCGTTTTTTGGTGACCAAGTGGCGACGACCACATTGAAAGTAATGAGTATTTTAACCTGTTTGATGTGGCTTCTTAATATTATATGTTTAATGTGACTTCTTAACCTTATATGTATGATGTGAATTCTTAATATTATTGCTTTTAAATACTAAATATACAGCTAAGAAAAAGTTTTTATGATGAACAGCTAAGAAAAAAAAAAAAAATTGTTTTATATTTCAAAGACGTAACCACAGTTCTGATATTAGGGGGCCTATGGTTTTTTTAAAGGAAGGAGGGGATAACGAAAAGTTTTAATTTTCATTTATAATGTATATTTAATGATAATCAAACTCCACATCTATGAAACAAATAAAAAATGTAATATTTGTGTCAAACATCTCTACAAAAATGTTTACTGAAGTTTCCGAAAATGTTTATTTGTGTTTAATATTTATTAATAAACTCATTTGCAATCTCGACCAAATCAATTTTGTCCACTGCTTCCACAAGAGTATGAAGAACTAGCAAGTTGTTTACGCGGGAATCTGTCGTGTTGATCAAAGGTAGGTTTTAACTCATTTTAATGGGGAGAAAGATCTTTCACATAGAGCATAAGTAGCTGGCATGACAAAAATTAGCTTGGCAGTCTTTACAACTTCGGTAACTAAAGCTCTTTTAGAGTGATCCAAACTTTTGAAAAACAAGATGAGATCTTTGATAGTAAATTTTTTGATATCGTAACCTAATGATGTTGCAATGCTTGAGAGAAGAGCAATTTGTATTTTAGCTAAAGATTGGGTAATTTCTTGACAGTCAAAGTGACAAACTGATTACAGATGATTTTCCCAACTTTCCCTATTAATTGACTTGAGAAAAACTTCCTGAAGATCAATATATAATCAGATTGATTGAACCTCTGTTTTATAAAACTGATAACAAGATCGAAAGCTTCAAACTACAATTGGCGATAATGTTCTTTTGGAGAATCATGGAAATGATAGGCTTTTTGTGGGTTAAGAGTTGTTTTTAAATAATCCGGCATTTTTCTTTTTCTCGAAAGTTTAAGATCAGCAACACCAGGCTGGATTTTTCAAAGCACGTTCCTAAAACAGTTCGTAAATTTTGCTGCTTCGGGATTTTTCCAGAACATTAACGACTTGAGATGCTAAATTTTGTCCTTCCGCTGCCAAAATACTTTGACCTTGGAGTGCCCTACTTAGATTGGCTATTTGTTTCAGGAGGCATAGCCCTAAATAGCAACAAAAGATAGAGTCAAATGTCAACATTATAAACTTCACTCCCCCAACTCTTATTTTCATTTCGGTATCATTATAATATAATATATATTTCGCCATAAAGAAAATATTTACAAAATTAGACTTTAAAAACTGTATATACACGGCTGGGGCAAGAAGAAGACAAATTCAGTCTTATCGTCAAGCCCCTGATTCAACTCTTGAAATTTCCATTAGCTTTTAAAGTTCCATTAGCTTGCGATATTTTTTTTAGAAATGATTCAAAAACATCGCTACGCACTGTTCACCTTGTTGGATAACATTTATGGATAGGCTTTGAATTGCTTTTCGTTAATTCTCTAATAACATTAAGTTTTGAATTTCTTTTAGATGATTTTTTGATAAGTTTGCAAATATATATTACAAATCATATGCTGTTCCAAAAGTTTTGTTGACACTTTTGTTAAACAACTTTATCTCAGTTGCTACTTCAGATTTAGTACCATTTAGCAGCTCCGTCATAGCGTTGACCACGCGCATCTTCTTATCTCAAATTTATCCTCAAGAGAATATCTTTGAGAACACGTAGAATTTCTTCGAAAGTTGTATTTGGTAACGAATGCATACCAATGAACTTTTCGTGTGCTTGTTAATCATCATTGATCCATCGAAGACAAACAACAATTTTTGCATATATGAAAATATACATATTAAAAATATTTTACATGTTTTTCCATAATAATTATACTTTAAATTTTTTTTTTTTTTTTGGTGGGGGGGGGGGGGGGAGGGACAGGGCTCCTTTGCCCCCCTTGTATTACGGCTCCCTTATTCAGTTCTTAAATTAAAAATATCACATTCATAACATCCTGATTACGTAAAGCATTATAATTGTGGGAACAGCCTGGACCATAGTGCTGCGTGAGACTATTTATATACTTAACGAGAAAAAGCTAACTTTAGGATTTTCTTATTTATACCAAACTTTGATCAATGAAATAATAAATTTTGACCTTAGCAATAGCAATTCTTAACATGTTTGTTAAACAATCTATGGGAAACAAATTTTTTTTCTAAACTTTTGTCTATACGTAGAAAAGACTTTGGCTGTTTAATAATAAAGAAGTAATAACTTTTTTAACTTTTTAAAAATATTTTAAAAAGTTAGAAGCAATTTCATCTGCTACCTAACTACCACCAATATCATGAAAATGAGACCCTATAAATTTTCTACAAAATAGAGCGCCTAATTTCCTTAAAAAACAGGGTGTGTGTGTGTGTTAACATTTAATTTAAAATCTACTTAAAACTAAATAAAAATTATGTAAAAAGTGTTTTAGATTTCTAATAATGAATGTCACATTAAAATTTACAAACACTTTTATTGTTTTTTTAAATTGATATATTTTACATCAAATATATACTTTATATATTTTTATAAATATAACTTCAACAAACTTTTTAACGAATAAGCACTTTCTTCTTATATAACATATTTAACTTTGTATATCTTACATCATGTTTATCATCTCATACACAGTATTGTTAGTTATTATTTTATTTCATGTTTTTATGATTTCCTTTCAATAATTATTTTTATTTTATTATTATACTCTTCTCATCTTGAATTATTCTAAAATTTTTAGAAAAGTTTTCAAAATAAACGGTAGACAATATGACGCGGGCTGCAATAAAGCCATCGAGGTTAGCCATATATACATTTTCTGTTTTGTAAATCAATCTACTGTTGTAATAATGTAGCTTCGGCTTTCTAATAAAGCATGCGTAGTTTCGTTACGCGATCTGTTGATGCTTCGAGATTCGTATATTACTTTTGCAAAATAGATACAAGGGTTTATAAGAGAGTTAAGCGTAATCGCAAGATTACCAATTGGATGGTAAAGGTCTTCATCAAAATAACTAACGGTTATAGGCATTAAACAAACAACAAAACTTATACCAATAAAAGTACAGAACATTGTCATCCTTTTTAAACGATCCTGCTGTACGTTGCATTCAGGGCTAAAATCTTGAATAATTGATTTCCTTTGTAGCACTAATAACAATGAAATATATAAGTAAACTATCAAAACAAAAAACGCAGAGAAGGCAAACACGCAGGCACGAATATATACCCCTATTTTTGTGTCTAATGAAAAAACCGATAACACTGAAAATGTAGGAGTTAATATTAATGAGATTATCCAAATACCAGCAATTGTACCAAACTTTATTTTAAAAGTGTTAAAAATATAATATTTTCTCGGATATTTAATGGCATAAAAACGTTCAACAGCAACTGCTATGACATGGAAAGTTGATGCGAAAACTGAAAACAGAAATACGGAATCAAATATTTTGGTCACTATTTCATGAGAGATTCTTGGAACAATCGTAGGGTTCATTTCTCCAGAAAGGTACCAACCATCTATTCCTAACGTAGCTACACCACTTGTGAAATCAGAAATAGATAAACTTAAAAGTAAATAATCAATGCGATCTAAACTCTTCCATTTCCGCACAATTAAAAGTTGCTCTACGAAGTTTGCCAGAATCACTGCAGAATCAATTATAATACAAGCAACCATCCATGGTACGGACATTATAACCAATTTTAATTTTTAGGATAGAACAAAACTTGAAGTTCAAAAAAAGCCTAAAATTTACAGAACAAAATATTTATAAGTTGAACTTTGAAATTATATAAATTGTAAGTCATGGAACCACGCCACGTTCTTGGTCTTATGTGCAGCACGGTATGCGGGATATATACATACAACATAAATCCAAAACCTCAGTTTCCATAAAACAAGACTAATTTATTAAAACGGTACCCGACGGGCATTTGTTTTTAAAAGTTACGTTCTAAATGTGTTTTAAATGTCTTTTAAACGTCTTTTAAACATTTATGTTTAAAATACGTTTAAAAGACATTTAAAATACATTTAGATCGTAACTTTTAAAAACAAATGCCCATCGGGTATTTAGAACATTTTATAAGGAAATCTTGTTTTTCTGTTATAAAGATTTTGGATTTATTTAGCTAAAATAAATTATATGTATCACTTTCTACCACAAAAATCTTATTTACTTCTTTTATTTAAGCAGTTACACTAAGAGATATATTTTTGTATCTAATATTTAAAGAATTTAATTTTTTTCACTGTATTTCGGTTAAAAAAATCAAAGAACGTTTTATCATTTGTTTTCTTTTAACCAATGGATTTCCCGCCTTTTATCGAAAAACCAATTCTTTTATTACTATGTATCAAACAAATTGTTCAAAAGGTTTTGATTTATTCAAAATTTAACATGCACTTATTAAACGTTGTATAAAGTTGAAAAAAGAAAACAGTACCAAGTTCTACAATGACTTATTCTTCAAACGCGAGGTGGGTCGGAATTTAATTTTGGTCTAATTTCATTTTGATTTCAAAAGGTTCTTTTTTATATTAAAAAATATTTGAAGAGAAGACGCCTCTTACTTTTTTTATTTGTTTTTTATGATTGTTGTATTAATTTTGAAACAATGGCACCGCGAGTTAAGAGCGTTGTGGTATTAAGTTGAAAACCAAAATTGCTCTCAAATAATCACATAATAAGTATTTTAATCTTTTAAATCAAACTTTCTTTCTTTTGTATTCTTTTGTAGTTTTAACAACTCTTATGTTTTAGTTTTTAGAAAACCAACAAACGTGGCGTAGTTTACAACCGAACAAAAAGAAATTAAAAAAAATAAAAATCTTTGCATAAAAAAAATTAAAACAAAAAGAACTATAACAAATAATTTAACGTTACATATTTATTTATTTTTTCTCAAATTTATATTTGATTTGATTTGATAAAGTCTTTATCATCTCCCACTTTAACGGTAAAAAACAATTTTTTAAATATTTTTAGCATAAACATTAAAAAGAAAGCTGTTACCATTGGTTATATGAATTTTCATATAACTAAAATATTTATCAAGTGTTAATTTCAAATACTCAAAAAAGTGAATGCCTTTGTTTTCAAAGAGTTTGATCGTCGTCAAAAAGTTAAATATTTTAGAAAACTTCTTTAATATTTAAAGAGTCGAAATATACAATCATATAGCTTTAAAAACTTACATCTAAAAAACAATTTGTTATTAGTTGTATAAAATGTTTTCTATAATATGCCATTCCAACTTATCCTCTTGGGCTAAGTGCAAAACATTTGTTATTTTAGCACAAAATAACAATATAATAATAATATCTTAGCACTTTTTAGCGCCATACCAGGCGCTAAAAACCAGCAACAGGGTGGGCAGCAGGGGCATTTGTTCCCCTCCCCCCAATAATTTTTCAAATAAATAATTTTGCAAGAAAAATTGAATGAAAAAATGACTAAAAAAAAAAGGTCCTTAAAACTAATTCGGGGTAGTACTGCCTTTCCCCCCCCCCCCAATAAAAATTTTCGTTCGTCCCTGCATATAAAGTTTGAATCTCCTTATTTGAGGGGGTTACAAATTTTACAAGATCATAATTTTAAAACGCAAAAAATTAATAAACATACTTTTAAAACTATGAGTAAAATTAAATTTATTATAATAAATTACTCTATAGGATAAATAGTTATTAAAAAGTTGCTCTCACATTTGGGAAGGCTGGAAGCTCACTTTTGGGAAGGGTAAGGAGTAAAGTTGGAAGGGTAATTTTTAGGACTTTTTAATCATAAAAATTTTAAATCTAAAAATGGTGTTTGAATCAAAGTCCTAAAAAATCATTTAGTCATTTTTATATAACTTTTAAAAGCTTTTGAAAAATAAGAAATTAAAAAAATAATAACAAAAAATGAAATAAAAATAATGTCAATCAAAATTTGTCATTAAAAAAAGTGTCGTTATTCAATTTAGAAAAAAGAAGAAACGAGTCTAATTACTTCCGATAGAAACAAAAATTTGCAAAAAAAATATTTTTTTATTAGAAATCTATTTTTGTTATTCATTATTATTACTATTATTATAATTATTATTTTATTAAATAATTAGTTATAAAAACAGATTTAAATAAAATATGTGTAATAAATAAAAATTATATTAATAATAAATACGTTAAATCAACATAGCATAAAAATTTGCCTTGGTTAATTAACTTCTCAAGAGGAGGAGAGATCTTGTATGTTGAGAAAAGTAGTAGAAAATATTTTTTCAAAACAAATATTAAATTATTCTAAATAAAATTTTTTTGCCAAACAATAATTTTTTTTTTTTGAATTTGTTATACTTTGTTTGAAATACCTCCCAAAACATTCAAAATGAAACCACCATCATGAAGACGGATGTTAGATGCTTCACTTTAAAATTAACATTGCACTTACAATAAGCAATGCAACCGTTTAAACAAACATTAACAGAACATTATTAACCATTTATATAGTAAAGTAGAAACTAGTAAAATCAATTAAACACAATCTTGCGACACTTTAACACAAAATTACGCAACCGCAATATTGCACAAAAATAGCACAATCTTGCAACACTTAATGCAAACTTGAAACACTTAGTGCAGCACTTAGCACAATCTTGCAATACTTAGTGCAAAGTTGCAACACTTTGTGCAAAATACAGAAAAAAAAAAAAAAAAAAAAAAAAAAAAAAACAATTAAAATCAAAGAATAACTTTATAAACATTTTAATTGTATTTAAAAGAAATTAGTTCTGTAATATGGAAATAAATTCTTTACCCTCATCTGAAAAGTTTCTAATAAAAATAATGAATTTGAATACATTTTTTTCTAAATAAAAATTATTAATAACAAACTCTGGTCTTAATATTAAAAAAAACCCGCAAAACGTTTTAGTATATTACTTTATATACAAAACTTCCATCTATAGAATGAATATAAAGAAACTTTTTGATTTGAAAATAAACGGCGAACACCTGATATTGATAAGTATATCGTAAAACTATTAGCTCAACAAAAAAAACAAAAGTAACAGGTGAACTCACGGCATAAACACTTTTGTAAATAACGGGCACATGTTAGACACCCGGGTTTGCATAATGCAGCACTAAGATAAGTAAATAAAATTCTAATCAATATCGAATTATTGTCACGCTTAATTAATGTCACGCTTAATATAAAACCGATGCCAAAATTCAATATCAAAAATAAAATATGTTTCATTAAATGATTGTTTGTTTGGTTTGCTTGTAATTTCGTGACAAAAGATTTATGAGAAAAGCTTTTATTCAAAATACTGTTTTTTTTTTTAATTTAAAAAAAAAAGCTAATATCTAATTGTCTTACATTAGATCACCATACATTAGATCACCATACATTAGATCACAGAGCACCGAGGAAGAGCATCTTCCAAACAGGAAATTTACACTTTTTTTCTAAACAACGTCGCTTATCTGGCTGGAGCCTGAGCCTCCGACTTTTTGGTGCAAAGCCAGAACTCTTTTTATTCCCCCCCCCCCCCTTCCCCCTCTAGATTTTTTACTCCTGTGGTGTATTACTGTGGTTTATTACTGTGGTGTACTACTGTATTTTTTTATTGTAATTTTAGCGAACAGAAAATAAATAATTTAAAAACAACCTTTAAAGAAAATAAGTTACTAAAGGATGTGTTTAAAAGAAAAAATTTAAAACTAAAGCTTATAACAATGCTCTATAAGATATTTTGTCCTTAACCGGACAAATGTAAAGCAATTTTGAACTTATCGCATCAGGGTCAAACGTACTAAAATTAAAATTACTTGGCATTTATGTCATGGCAAAGTCATAATCTGAAATCTTTCTTAAAATAATTCTCCATTTAGATAAAAGTTGTTAACGTGATCATAGAAATTTTCATAGACACTAATTTTACCTTTCTTGTGTGAAACTGTAGAGAAAAACGGAGAAAAACGAAATTTTTTTGCAAAAGTGTCTGTGAACAATATTTCACTCTGATTTATTTATCATAATGATTTATTTCCAAGCAAAATAATTTGTAATAAAATTCAAAATGTAAAGTTTATAAGTTTGTCATTCACATGATCAAAGCAATTTTTGTTCTCAACTTTATTAAACTTTAGAAAACTGCTAAATTCTTATTTAAAATTCCAAAACACGCATCGCAAAAAATAATACCTTAAAAGGTTCCACCCGTGAAATACCGCCTCATTAGAAGTAACCTTACCAAAATATATATTTTTTAAAAGTCACATAGCGTTTCATGTTCTCTATGTCTATGTGCAAACTATGTCTCTGTGCAAACTATGTCTCTGTGCAAAAGAACAAATAATCTTTTAATTCTATTTAAAAGTTAAATTTAGCGCGACGTATTTTAATGATGACTTTTATACTAACATGTTTTTTTTACAAAACGTAAAGTAAAATGTTACATTCTATTAAAAAAAATTGTCATCCTAATTCACTTCTATAAATTTGTTATCGTGCAAAAAGAAAAAATACCATTTTATAGCAGTACCTCCTGCTTTATTGAACTCAAATGATTTCAACATTTTGTCAAAAAGTCTAGATTCATTTATGTTAAAGATAGATCTTTGAAAATGTCAAATTTAAGCTGATTTGCAACAGTATTTTCGTGCACGACAACGAAAACGAGAACGAAAAAAAAGTCTTTCTTTTCTAATAAAAAGTCTTTCTTTTCTAAAAACTAGAACAAAATTTATTTTAAGAACGAGAACAGAATAAAAATTTTAAATTTTTGAATGGAATAAAAACTGAATTGAAAATTTTTTCAAAACAAAAATATTTTCGTTTTGAAACGAGTTAAAATCATTTGATTTATATAATTTTTTTAGTATAATATTTTATAATAATGTATTGTTTGAGCTTAGTTGAACATAGTTATTATATAGTTCGAATATATT